AGGCAGTGAAGGACAGGAAGGCCTGGCGCAATATGGTTCATGGGGTCACGAAGAGTCGGACACGACTTAACGACTAAACAACAATGAATCTTTTCATGTTGGTAAACTATTTTATCATTTTATGAACCTTATATAAGATTGATTTAAAAATTAGGTAAAGATCCTAATTTTTGTGTTAGTTATAGGCCCATTTGCTAATTTATGTGAATACAAAGATTCTAACTACCTTACTGTCTAGGTGGTTGCAGAAGATTTTATTATATATAATATAACTTTCCCAGTCTGGGCTCACTAAAAATCAACCAGTATCAGATAATTCACATTTATTACTAGATATACTGGACCCAGATAAAGATAGAATGGACTCTGCAGTACTTGTATCTCTTGATGCAGAAAAAGCCTTTGATTGGGTTTGGATTAAATTCTTAAAGCATGTAATGATTAGATATGATTTCCCAAAGTATGTCATTCATTAGATTGAAATTTGCAACCCTGTACAAGAGTTATAACATATTGAATGATTTCAGACTCCTTTGAATTATAATATGGCACCTAGTAGGGTTGCCTGCTTTCACATTACTTTTTTATTTAATTCTTGAACCTTTGTCTATTACCGTAATACAATCTTTTGATATTATCGGTATTAATTTGTAGGTTATGAATATAAATTATTTTTATATGCAGATGATATTTTAGCAATTCTAGATAAATATTCTATCTCTTTGTCTAATCTATATGGGCAGTACACTATTTTGGGAAGTATTCTGGCTATAAGGTTAATTGGGATAAATCTTCCTTTACTGTCTAATATATCAACACATGTATATAAAGAATTAAATGTTTGATTTCTGATGATTATATTAAATATTTGGAACTTTATATATCTAAAAATATTTCTAAATATGTAGAAATAAATGTATTGAAACATTTAGAAAAGATTGATTTGGATATTAGTAAATGGATTAAAAGTTTGCGGGGCAAAGTTAGTGTTATTAAAATGAATATTGTACCTCATTTGATTTCTGTCTTAAGAAGCATCCCAGTGTTAATTCCAAATGTATGTTTTCTTCAGAGTGGAAAGTTATTTAGGAAACGTATTTGGGAAAATAGATCACCAAGGATTTCATCAGCAAATTGAGATTACCATCTGATGATGGTGGTTTTAATTTAATAGATTTGCAAAAAATATCACAGAACTTATATTTTATCAGCCAGGTTTGTTAACTGAAAATTTAGTAGAACATCATCCTTTATGGGCTTTATTGGAAAATTATTATTTATTCCCATTATGGTCATGGCAAGTTCTTCAGTCAACATACATAGAACAGGTTTTTATTTCTAGGAGTGCATGCTACAAGAAATCTTTGGGGTTAATTGGGATGTATTTTTTGATATTTTGATATTGAGACTCATGAATACTTAACTCTTTGGTTATTAAATTCCTGAACAGTAGAACGTCAGTATTGGAAGAAGCTGGCCTAGCTAATAGGCTTCATAGATACTTCTGGTATAGGGATACAAAAGAGGTCAAAAACCTAAAAGGACACATTATAAGACAAAGCTTGATAAAAGTATGGAGCTTCATGAGGAAAATAGTAAGTCCAACAATTTCTCTGTTAATCTCTCCTCTAAATGCTTTTCATGTTGGAGATAATTACAGAAAAAGTGTAATTACATATACAAATATGGTCCACCCAGACCTCATGAATAGATTAAAGACACAGGAAGAATTTCTTAGTGAAAGCTAGAACATAACAATGGTTGATATACCTACAAATTGCTAAAAGAATAAAATCTGACCTTAAAAATTAGAACAGAATTTGAAATGCTCACTCAGAATTAAAACCACCTATTAAAAGCGCATATATAAACTCTTATTTAGATATGATATATAGAGAGAACAATAAAAAAAAAAGCATGAAAAATTGAATACAGAATTTTACAAAATAGTCCCAATATAGCAATGGAAAGAATTATGGAACAAATGTATAACATTTACCCCAAAATATAATTTAAGAGAAAACTGGTATGAAATGTTTTATAGATAACATACAACTCTGTCAATAATTGCCAAAATAGATAAATCATGCAGCAATAAATGTTGGAAATGCCATGAGGCAGAAGGAAGATTTTACCACGTGGTGAACATGGAAAAAAAAACAACACCCCAAAGCATTGGAAAGACATGAACAGCACCATTTAGAAAATCTTAAAAATCAAATTTGAAATGAAACCAGAACTCTTTTTATTAAGTATAATTACATAATATGACACTAAAAATACCACAATTTGTTCATATACATGCTCATGGCTCTGAGGACAAACTTTGCATAACATTGGAAAAGTGACATAGTACTCAAAATATCTGCTTGGGAACTTAAACCTGGAGAATATGCAGCAATGGCAAAACTAACAGTATATATACATAATAGAAGTTTAACTAAATTTAAGAAAGAATGGCTTCCATATATACAGTACTATATATCATGCAGCAGGGCAAATATAAACACTTAGAGTATGGTTTCTAAAATGTATGTTAATAAATACTGTAAATCGGTTGGAACACAGGGAAGAAGGGGAAAGTTGGAAATTAAATACTTGTCTATGTTATTTTTAGTGGTCTTTTTTTCTTTTTCTTCTTTTTTAGTATTTATAAATAATGATACAGTGGTTATTTGGCATTTATCACAAAAACAACTCAATGTACTTTGGTATGTTTATCTTTTATTAATGTTATATTAAGCATGAATTGTATAACTTGAGAGATTTTCTTTGTCCAGTTATTAATATTATCTCTTCTACAACTATATCTTTTTTAAAAAAAATAAAGAGAAAATATTTAACTCGTTGGAAGAGCTCCATGTTAAAAAATAGGTGGTAAAATGTTTTATTTGAAAGTATAGGCAGAAGCTGGGATAGTATTTTATATTAATTATTATGTAACAATTATTTTAAAGGCTTTTCTCAGCTTCAAATCAAATTTGGACTACTTAACTCACAACAGTGGCAATATTTTTTGAACTTAAGCATAGTTTGATGGCATAATATAGCTCAGATTCCTTGGCCACTTCAAAGATACCTGAGGTGCTTTCATATCTGATGGAATCCATGATGGAAGTTAACCCCACAACATACCTTTACCAAAATTTTATGAATGTTTTTAAAATGGATACTACCAGAATTTATCAATCCTGGACTAAAGAATTGGAATCTCGGATAATGTGACATAAATGGTTGCAGGTCCTTAAAAATGTTAAATTGGTGTTAATGGATTTGAGACTAAATTGTATTTCAAATCTATTGGACTCTCCAAATAATGTGTTGGACATCATATTTTCTTTGTTGGAGATGTAAACAATTTGAAGGATAACTGACCCATAAGATCTGATCTTATGAACTATTGGTATGCTTTTGGAATAGTACTTTGATGTACATAAATAGATCTATGGCAAAATCCCTAAATATTAAAGATGTTAATGTAATGTTGAACTATATCCAAAACATTATAATCTGACTGCTCTTGAAAAATTATGGTTGTATCAGATATTGGGGGGGGGGGTTGCAAAAAGAATAATTCTGAGAAATTGGATATGTGAATTATTCCAAACATCAAGGACTGACTTTTGGAAATGTGTAATTTTGCTGCTTTATAAAAAGCAATATTTTCAACTAATCAGAAAATGAAGCAATGTGTTATTCTTTGGTATAGATTTCATGATCTTTGCAACAATACAATAGTATTTTTAAGTTAATTTTTATTATCCTTTTCTAGTTGATAATAATATACTAAATATAGGTACCTAAAAAAACAAGGTGGGTTTTAAAAACAGTGTCAGAAATGTCTATTCACAAATAATGTTTCTTGTCTTTTTCTGACATTTAAATCTATGTTTTAAAGTTTTCTACATGTTCAACTTCATAGAAGTTACAAAAATCTCCAAAATTGTATACTTATCCTCAAGAGATGCGGGCATTTTAGCAGTAATTTTAGTTGCTATGCTTGACATCCATTTCTTCAAATAATTAGTTCCCTTTTGAAATGGAGATATCATTAAAAACGTATGAAGACTATATTTTCTTCCTTTTTAAATTTAATTTCAGTAAAAAACATTGCCTTAGGCAGCAAAACACAACTTACTGTTTTATCTGGACTGTCCTTAAGATAAATACTTTGTAAATTTAGGTAATTGCATTGCCCTCATCTTGAGAATTAATAAGCAATGTTGTTCTTTTTTTAATTGACATGAGCCACTTCAAATTTTGAAAATGGAAGGAACCTTATGGCTATCTAATGCACAAATGTTGCAGTGCCAGGGCTCCTCTTCACTTGTTTATTGAAGGGGAATGTGTTGTCTTTTCTGCTCCCAGTCAGCTTCTAGATGTAGAATATCCGTCTTGGAGGGAGAGCCACGGGGTAGTGCTAGATTGCCCACCTGCTAGCACTCTACCAATCCCCCAAGTGCAAAAGCTGATATGATCCCTTCTGGGCAAGAAAAGCAACAGTTCATCTCTGGGGTATGAAAGAGTCATCTTTCTACAATGGTAAGTGAGAACAATTGTAGTATTTACTACTGGAAAAATCTTACTAATAAGATAATCTTTTTAATCGCTAATATCTGCAGTAGGAAAGGAAGTCCACTTATTTTCATCAGTCTCCAAGGAGTAAAACAGGAGTATGTTTTAGTTCTATTAATACAGTGAAGGCTAGAAAAAGAAGTTCTGCTTAACTGCAAAGAAAGGCCCTTTATCCAATTTCACTTGAATGAATTTGCCATTTTACAACTAATTTATTGATTATTTGAGGGAAAAAATAGTGGAAATCTACAGTTTTCACATTTGGGAAGCTTCTGCTATTGATGAAATGAGAACTGTGATAAATTTATTTGTTTATAGAAGCAAACAAAAGATAATCCTTGGAATATTTTCCATGTTGCTTCAGTTGGAAAGATTCAGTTGGGATTCTCTTAGAAGACTCTGTGGTGGAAGCCTATATTTACATCATGATTTGCAAGCACATTGGACTTACCAGTTTTAATCAAAATGAGGAAGTCTGTACCCAGATATAAAGAAGAACAGCAGAATAATTGGACACCCTGCAAACCAGAATTATATATGTTACAATTGTTTTTTCCAGTTTTCAAAATTCCTACATAAAGGCATTGAAATCAGGATTAAAAAAATACGTTCTCCATGTGACAAACCTCTTCAGTCAACAAATACATTACTGTATACAATTGTATGACTAAATACGTTGTGGCTTGAATCATTGAACACAATAAAATAAAGTTCTTCCAGTATTTCGTGTGCAAAATGTTACCACAGATACCATAAACTTCTATTTCAAATCCTCTCATGCTTTTTCAGTATTTTTGCTGGCCCTTTTTGGCCAGGAAAAGGGG